TATTAAGACATTTTTATCGGTTAACCTGAAATAACCGGTCATAAGTACTGAATGTGTACAGTTTAACAAGTTGAATGGATAAATGTAAAAAAATAAAAAATAAATAAATAAATAATGACTAAATATATACTTAAATCATTATCCGTTGTAAATAATGTATTTTTAGAAGCCGGAATACATAATATATTATTATTATTATATGCATAGGTGTGTCACGAACATGGAAGGGAACGATTAAATGCTATGTCTGCTGCTAAATCTCTGGGCCTAAGATCCTGCTCCTATAAATTAATAGCTTCTGCTCCTATAGATTACAACATTATAAGTTGTACCTATGCATCGAAAGTTGCACCACAAACAGAAACAGAAAAAGTTGGTTGAGAATACGCAACTGTGGTAATAATGTAATAAGCCATTAAATTTTTTGAAAGGAATGGTGAAATATTAATTAGTGCTGATAAGTTTATTTAAGAATTGAATTTATAGAAAGTTGGATTTTGGTATTATTGGAAGTAAAGGTACTGCAAGCTGAACGTTGTGGAGGATTGAGGTCAAATGATGCAGTCCAGTATTTAATATAAGTTGTTTGGGTTATTAATGATTATGGTAATAATATGACAGTCTTGATGTTGAAAGATACGACTTCATATTAAATCATTTGAAAAACAAGATGTAAGTGGGAAAAAGGTAAAAAGAAAAAAATAACTTACTTTTATTATTTTTAAGTCTTTTAATTTGTTTTAGTTATTATCTTTCTTTTAAACCTATTTGTATCAATAAAAATAGTGTAAACATTAAATCATATCCACCTTATCACAATATATTTAACACCAAAAACATATCTAGATATATTATCTTTCATCTAACTTTTATAGTTAAAAAGAAAAAAACAATTCTTATATTTAATAGTTTTTTTTTTCAAATATTTTTATCACATGTATCAATATTAGATACATATTCATACAATATAAATAAAAAATAAAAACGAATAAGTTTAAAATATAAGGACCAATTTGTACTACAAAAACTTTAATATTATATTTGGTGTTAATAAATAATATAACAGTATGTATAAGTTATGTATAAGTTGGAGCAACTTAATGTAAAATATGGATTTTGGTGTTGGATTGAAGATGCACTTAAAAAACCATCCTTTTTGTTTTATATAAAATTATGTTGTTCTATCAACAAAACTGCGTCTACATATATTCGAATAAGATAAATAAATGCAATTGTTAAACCACTTAAAAGGATATAATTGAAAAACTTAATCATAAAATCATAAAAATATATTGTATTTTTTTTATATTTTTAACACGTACTATTAAAACTAATCAAAATATCTGATTATTTAGAAAAATAGTGAAATTAACTAAGCTAACCAAATAGGTATTATTAACACTAATCAAAATATCTAATTAAAAAAACACAGTTCTACCAAATAAAATAATAATAATAAAATATTTATGAATTATATTCCGGATTTTGGAGTTAAAAAAAAAAATAAATAAAAAAATAAATAAAAAAACTCCTGATTTAAAAAACAAATAGGAATTTCGATAAACAATTACAAAGTTTGGAGGAAAATAATTTTTATAAAAATTTAACAAAAAGTTAAACAAACATAGTAAATTAGAAGTATATACGATACTAGAGCTTAAAATCAGACATCCGATTGAAAATTAGTAAATATTAAACACTTTGAAATGCACATTTTCGGGCATACAAAATAGATTTCTTTAAAAAAAATTGCAAAAAAATGAAAGAAAAGAACTCCAAAACTTAAAGAACTAGTCCGCAGTGGAACATTTGGAGAAAGTGATTATTTAAAAAAAAATGTTATTTTCCTTATAAAGCTCACTTTGAATGGTTAGTTTGGTAAATTTCCCTAAATTTTATATTCAACTTTGCAATGACATGTTGGAAAATTATACGAGAGAATTTCTTTTTACATACCAATCTAATATCACCCTACTACACGCCAATCTACTTTAATCTATTCCCAATGCAGTTTAATTTCCAAAAAAAATCTCTTTATTAATTTTTTTAGATTAGATCCTTATTTCTTTTATTAAAAAAAATTGACGTGCACAACATTTTTTGGCTGCCACAAAAACTTTAAGACCTCGTTGGTTTTTTTTTTTAATTTATAAAAACACTAACACAGGTCTTGGGTTTATTAGTTTTTTCTATTTTAAAAAAAAATACTACTAATAGATATATATATTTTTAAATAAAGTAAAATACAAAATTTAATCTTATTATATTTTTGTTCTTTATATTTTATCTTGTGGTGTTTTTTATTTCGCAATATATATATATATATATATATATATATATATATATATATATATATATATATATATATATATATATATATATATCTTTGATTGGTATTTATTGGTTTATTAATATAAACAATTAATTTATTATTATAAAAGGATATCAGTTGTTTAGAATCATTAAAAAACATATTTAATAATCAAATAATAATTATGTTTTAGTTTTTAGTTGTTTAATATATTATTTAACAAATACATTTTTATGTATAAATAAAGAACTGATTGTAAAAACAAATTCATCAAAATAATATTGTTTTTATTTATCAAAAAGTATGCACCTAAGAAAAATGATGTAGTTTTTAAAATATAAAAAACCATCCCCAAGTATAAAGTTTCAAACGCTTGTAAAAAATATTCGTAACTTTTTAACAACTATAAATGTTTTCTAATAAAGTCTTTTTTTGTGAAAAAAAGTGTAAAAAAATATGTTCATTGGGAAAAGAATAAATATAAAGTTTCAAACATTGTAAAAAGTTTAAAGAGACTTGAAAAATGTAAGAAAATTTATAAAAATATGTGAAAACTTTTAAGTAAAAGCTCGTACAAAAGTTTTACAAGATTAAAATATCATAAAACATTTAAAGAAAACTTGAAATATGTGTAAGTAAAAAAAGTTTAAAAAAATGAAAATTATTAATAAAAAAGTTGTAAATCAATTTAAAAAGTATGATGTTTAGTTATAAAAAAGTCTAGTAGTAAATAAATTATATATATATATATATATATATATATATATATATATATATATATATATATATATATATATATATATATTACAATTAATGATATTGTGGGTTTATGAAAAAAAACATAAAAAATTGATGAAAATTTGTTTTGAATTTTTTTTATAATACTATTTATATAATTATATTATAAAAACAATTTGTTTTATTTTAATAAAAAATAAGTTTAAAAATTAGTTAAAATAATAATTATAATATTAATATTAAAGTTTTAATGATTAGGTTATAATAAAGTAAATTAAAAAAGTTAGTAAAAATGATAACTATATCATAATGATTACCTAAAAAAAAGACTATTGGTATATGATGTATATAGGATGGTGTGTGTAAAGTAGGACCCAACTAAATCAAGAAAAAGTAAAATATTTAAATTCAAAAATAAAACTATTAATTCCAAATTATTATTATTATTATTATTATTATTATTATTATATTAAAAAAGTCACTAAGAAGAAACTATTGCAAGTTTAACAAGGAGAAGTTGTTGGAAAGGTGTACATTCGATAAATAGGGTGTGACGAATGTGTAGTTTTAAGGCCGGACAGAGTGGGGAGTAGGGAGAGGTGCGGGACGTTTCCTGCACAGGGAGGACACCGCACCGTGGGTGCGGAAAGGCTAGCACGGGAAAAGGGTGGGGGTTTGGGATCTCGCATTCTCACTCCTCACATGATTGGTCCGTTTATTTTTTTCCTTTCTTTTATCTTTTTTAATATTTATAAAATTATATATGTATTAAAAAAATATCTCAAAATTTATAGTTTTTAATTCCCTACGAAATGAGTATAATATATGTATAACATATATTTTTTTTAAAAGTAAAAAAATAACAATGGGAGTTTCAGACCCTTTCTTTGGATTTTAGGTGAGGGAAAGAAATATGAGGAAAAGAGAAGTATGGCCCACAAAAAGTAAAGGAAGTTTTCCTCCCACTCTTTCTGGTCTAAGAATATATTTAGGAGTAATGATGGGAATCAAAAGTATTAAATAGTATTATCACTGAATCTTAACAATAGAAAAAAAAATTATAATATCTTCAAGTAGCCAACAAATACTTTTGATTTTCAAAAAATACTTGGTTTAAAACTAGATGTATGAAAATTCAAAGATTGTATGAGTGTAAAAGAAATTTATAAAAGTATAACCAAGTTTAAAACCTTAAATAAAAAAATCAATAAAAAACTGAAAACGAATCTTGAAAAATATTATAAAAAAGTCTTAAAAAGATTACAGAAAGATAAATTTGTAAATCAAAATAAATTTAAGATGTACTTGCAACAAGATTTAATGTCCAGATCAAATTCGTAACAAAATTTTAAGTCTAAGCAAAAAAATATAAAATTAAAAAGAGAGTTGTCTTGTAGATAGTAGATAAATATAAATAAAATACGTTTGTTGACATTTTAAAATAATTCGTTTCAAAATTCAGTAATAACCCTATTAACATAAAGATCAAATTCCAGCCATAAATATCATTTAGTGAAATATCATTTACTATATGATAATTGATAAAAGCAGCCGTCGAAATTTCAGCAGCAAACATATGTCAAAATATACAACCTATCTATACTCAACTGCTTATAAAATATTTCACAAATTCGTTTTCATTTTTCCTTGCAGTGATCGAAACCAATCTGTTACAAAGAAAATTCAAAAAGAAACCAACCCCCAACCCTAGCTTCTCCAGAAACTTTTACTTTACAAGTCCAGATTTTTTTTATTTTTTTTTTTTTTTTTATGTTTATGTCATCCAATGCAATGCCACGTCATCATTGTCCTGTTCGACTCTTGCACTTTGACATGATTGATGTTTAGCAGGTGGAAGTAAGACAAACTAGAGTCTAGAGTAGTGTGTAAGTATAGATGCAGTAACAGTTGAAGTCAAAGTCAACCTTAGGATTTTGAGATATACAAGCCACTACCACTACGAAGTCAAAATTAATTAATTAATTATATATATATATAGCTTCGAAAAAAAAAAGTCAAACTCAAGATTTGGAGATTTTGTTAGACCATCTGTAAGAACTTGAGGCATCCACTGGAATTTGCAGCAACCACCATTTCTGATTTTTGTCTCCAACAGACGCTTGAAACAAACTGATTGCTTTCATTTTCAGTCTCTTTTCCAGAAATAGGATCAATAGACCCAAACTTGTGGGAAGTGATAGGTATAGGCAATGATCTATAATAAGCAAACACCTACAAACAGCGTAGTACATACAAAAATTCAAAAAAAAAAATCAAAATGATAAGAGAAATAGGGCATATGGGCATAATAATACCTCATTAGTTTCTGAGCCACATGCAATGTATCCATCAGCAACAGATAAACCAACAAAATTCTGAGAGAGAGATACAAAATCATTAAGAAATAAGAATATTAATATTATCATGAAGAGAAGGTGGTAAATGTAAATGTACATACCTTCTCATTAGTATGGCCTTTATAGGTTAAGATGCAACTGGTGGGTGTGGTTGATAAACAACCAGAATTGGCTGCTTTGTTAAGGTCCCAAAGCTTCAAGGTGTTGTCTGTTGATGCAGAAATTAGGGTTCCAGGATCCAAAAATTTCACAAAACTAACAGCTCTGTCATGGCCAGTCAAAGTACACAGAGGGGTTGAAATATTCCTCAGATCATAACAGTAAGTTGTATAATCAGCAGACCCAAAACACATCAAATGACTGGAGTAAGGCGAAAATTGGACTGAGCACACATTTGCTGCACTTTTGATTGTCGTCAAGCTCTTCTTCTACACATACATATCAAAAACCACAATCGTTTATATTAACTAAATAAAAGGGTAAAAAGGGGTATTAATATTATATTACTTACTTCATTAATGCTCCATAACTTCACAGTACAGTCATCACTTCCACTGGCTAATTTCATAGGATCTGCTCGAGAAAAGTCAACAGACCATGTCCGCCTTTCATGCTCCATATGATGAGAAACTGCTTCACCAGCTCCAGCGTCCCATATCTGTATTTATTTATTGTTAACATATGATTTAATTTTATAAGCAAATTGTTTTGAAATTATACCTTGACTACGCCATCATAGTCTGTTGAAGCAAGATAGTTTCTGATATAGTTGTTCCAACAAATACAGCTAATCTTTGATTTGTTTGACATTTCAATGGCTGGATAATGAATGTCAACAGAATCGCTCAACAGAGATTCAAAATCATAAACTTTTATCTTCTTCGAAACTCCAGCAGTTGCAATATAATCTTCATCACGATCGAACCCAAGTGAGCATATGACATTTCCCATACTACTGAAATCACCATTCCTTAAAATACCCTTCACTTCAAACTTACTATACCGAGCATATTTGCACAAACCATTGAAAAAGATTCCTAATCGGTCTGAAGGCTTGTTGTCTGCAGCTGCTTCCATCTTTTTTGGGCTGGGCCCCATCCCTGTATTTTTTATATTGTTTTCCCGACTTGTTAAAACTTCGTGTTCCTCCGTATCATAGTCCGGGATCTTTACGGTGGACCTCACGGAAAAGTAAGCATGTTCAAGATGATTCATATTGGCTATCAACCGTGATCCGCCATGGCTGGAACTAGATTTTAGTAGTTTATGCTGAGCTGGACCTGGAAAGGACAGTGAATTGTTTGGCTGTCTTGACATGATCTCTGAGATGTCGGATTCTAAGCACCTGATTTCATCAACTAACTTTGTGCCACATTTCTGCTTTTGTTCTTTTAAGGATGCAAGGAAATGCAACATTAAATCTGATTCAGCATCTTCTTGAGTAATGGATGATGACAGCTCTTTTATGGATGATTGTTGTATCCCGCTTACAAGCTGGGACTGTTGGATGTCTCTGATAAGAGGAGAGTTCATGTTTGTTACTTGTTAGGTTAAAAAGAGTTTATATATTAGACATATGATCCATACATGTGTCTGTAGTCGTCATATGTATGTATAAACAACATAATTCAGAAAAAAAAAATATATATATATATATATACCTAGTTGTTGGGCGTAATGATGGTTCGGGGTGAAGCAGCCAAAGACAAAATCCAGCTTCCTGGGGATTCTCTGACAGGAAAGATGGAGGGAGGATCCTCTGGCGAAGATCCATCATTGCAATAGCATGTGCTCTAGCAGATTCAAAAGAACCAAGTAACTGGAAAACAAGAACATGACATATAAGTTGCAAGCACTCAATTCTCTATCTAAACAAGGTTAAGAAGGATAACTATTCTAAGTGGCAAAGTGCAACATCCAATTCTATCCATGCATGTCTAGTTAGTGGGTAGTTATTTAGTATCAGTTTTTCCATTTCATGTATGAACATACAACCATGCTCTAATACCAGTTTGTGGTGTGAAGAAGCTCAACAACCAAAACTTTAACACTTGGGTGGTGTTTTTTCTTTTTTTTGCAAAAGCTCTTCCTGATCTCTTATAAATATATGTTTATAGAGTTGTATAAAATAACCAATTTTTATATTTTTAATTTTTTGCCACAAATGACCTCAAATTTCATAACTAACTTTTTTATTATTATTTTTTTTCAATGAATCTCTTTTCTTGTTTTGTGGTGTTGACATTTCATTATATAAAGTGATTTCAATGTGGGATCATAGTGAAAATATATGGTTATTTAAATTAAATATAAGTGATTTCATGTATATGGAAGTTAGGAAATTGCTTCCACTAGTGACTAGAGGCTACATGGTGTTTGGTACATATGATGTTAAGATCATGAACTTGTGACTCCATCAAAACAATTATAAAGGGACAAAGAACGGGTTCGATATATGTAATGTGAGTTGAAATGCTTATTAGAGAAGACAAAAAGGAAGAGAATGTTGATATGTGGCATATATGATTAAGCCATATGAATTATGACAAACTCAATTCGATGATCAAGAAACAAATGGTGTTGTCTTCCTCAATTTAAAGTTGGAAAAGATCTTGTTTGTGGTGGGTGCCGATATATGAAATCTCACCAACAGCCGTTTGAAAGTTCAAAGTACAAGTACAAAATACCCCTAGAACTTACATTGTGACGTATGCGGAGCTATTATGAAACCTTCAATCAAAGGCATTTAATACATGGTAATATTCATTACTCGCGTTACATATAGGTGCATTTCATGAATGAGAAGCCTTCAAGTGTTTTCCATGTTCCAAGAGTTTAAGCCTAAAGTTCAAAGAGAGACAAATCATAACATAGGTTGTTTGAGATCAGGCGATGAAAGGGAATATCTCGCATCAGAATTCACCGATTTTCAAAAGATACATAAAATCAGACGTCGGCTAAACTATCCAAACATGCATGCATGCACTCACGTGCTTGCCCTATCCGTATCTAAGTTTTATGTATAATCTTTCTTAGTTGAATTGGTCCGGTTAGTGGGTAGTTATTTAGTATCGGTTTTTCCATTTCATGTTAGTGGATAGTAGTGCGGCGTATTTTCAGTTCTTGTTTTTGCCTTATACGACCTTTGTAACTTGCATATATTCATACGTATGAACATACAACTTTGTGTGTTTTGCTCCTTCAAAAGCTTTCACCCTTGCTTAGATTCCTGGTTATGTGTACTAGAAAGGTTGTCTCTCAACAAGTTAACAATAAGAAGAAACCAAGATGCATGGTATTGATGGAAAAAAGGAAAAAATAAGATCCACTTACTTACTAAACTTAAAATATACCAACATTCCAAAATGCCCCATAGGTTTTTTTTTTTTTTTTTTTTGCCACAGAGGGAGTATTAAATGAAAATAAGTAAGAGAGAAGTGTTTATATCTTAACCCCAAATCTAATTTAAGATACCAAACAATGAATGAACAAAGATGGTAACTCAACTGCAAGTCAAGCATTCAACTTAAATTAGTTCATGCTGATGTATTTTTTCCAACATGATGAGTCGCATGGTTTGTTAGTCTTAATGCGGGAAATAGTTGTAGACGAAGAGGAAGATTGAAACACTCAGGAAACTCAAAAGAAGAAAACAATCTTTGTTCTTTCCAAATAACAAGAATAAAGAAAAGAACAATTACACTTCGATACCCTAAAGAATAATAATAATAATAACAATCTGATTCCAAACTACCAACTTAGGTTAATACCAAAACGTTGTTTATGGCACGTGACAAAGTGTATGGTTGTAGATAGACTCTCTTATTGTCAGTCTACCTTCGTTTTCATTACTTAATCTGATCATTTGATTAACTTATGACTTTTTATTTATTTTTATTTCTGTCTAAATTTGGTTGTGGTATGATTTATCCCGGTTTATCTTCATTTTTTGGTTATCTTATTCTTGTAATCGTTTTTTTTTTCTTTTGGTTTTGCAGAAAAGGCTAATTGTGGACTGCATGATTATTTTCCAAGTTAGCACCACATGCCATAACTGCTATATTATTGTTAGTAACCGTTGCTATATATTCTTTACACCATTTATGAGCAAGATACACTGTAATTTATAGGTGAAAAAGCAATTCATACCTCAAATAGAAGAACACCGAGAGAGTAGACATTTGATGCTGATGTGGCACACATCCCTTTAGGATCCTCTGGACTGGCATACCACTGCTCTTCTAGCGGATCACCACCAAAGTTAGTCACCATTTGTGATGTAGGGGACCCACGCAGCAGATTGTTGGACATGCTTTGGATTGTATGTGTATTACTTCTTGTAGGGATACTCTCTCCATTGAATCCATATCCAGAATCTTGAGGAAAACCATTACCAGAAAGCATTGAAAACTGAGGCCACCTCCTGAAAGACTTCTGGTTCTCCACATGCTTTCTTCTTTTTGAGCTTTGGTTAGGACCAAGAACAAGATCATGTTCCAATTGTCTCTTCTCACTTCCATTATTTTCCACGAGAGGTGAAGAACCCAAGTACAGAACTTGGTTTGATGACATCAACCTGAAGCATGATGGGCGTAAGGTTTGCAAAGCCACACCTTGAGAATGAGATGAATCCACCAGATCAAGAATCTGTTTGAATACATAAAGGCTCTTGGATTTGTCTACCTTGTTATGACCAGCTTTCAGCCATTCTCTCAGACTCAAACTTTCATGAACATGAGAAACATTAACTTCTTTAATGGAATCAGGTGCTGACTTTGAATCCATCAAACCAGCATTTGGATGATTCTGACCACGAATATGAGCAAGAAGACCATCACGAGCTGGGCCATTGCAAATGACACCTTTACCCTTCAATGTATTTTTCACAAAATACTGAGAAAACCCGGATTGAGAAAGAATCTTTGTGCGAATCCCACCAGGAGATAACAACATATTGCCTGAAGTTGAAGCAGGCTGTTTGTCTTCACGGCGTGAAAGGTCAATTGTGTCATTTTGATTTTGGATTTGTTGGTTATTGTTCATGAGTTCTGGGAAGATAGTGGAGCCTGAATCTTCCCAAACACCGGTTATTTTCCCTTCAGATCTTTGATGCAGATGTTGCCATTTGATTTGTGCATTATGCATTTTGCCTTTCATGCTTGAGGCATCTATCTTCAAGTTCCCACTGTCATAACTTTTTACTGTTAATTCTTCAACCATAACCCCGGAATCATTCACACATCGTGGGCTCGTGCATGCATGTGCTGACGTGTCAACCCTAGCTGCGTTCTTTCCATCCAAAACATCTAAATATAAACCCATTGTGTTCTCCTGAACATTAACATCACCAGGTATAAGCATTTCCTGCATTTCAAGCATATTTGAGCTTCCACGCCTCAAGAACAGTTTGTTATCAATGTCAGTTACTGTAGTCCCTTCATTACCCACTAATTCATCCATTTGCTCAGACCAAACTTCATGAATTGGTGATGACTCTATTCCTACATAGAAATTCAATATCAAATGTCAGGAAATCTAGGTTTCAGAAAGTTAGATCTGGATTTAAAAGGAAAATGATGCACAAAAAAATTCAATTGCTAGTAGCAGATTATGTATTCACTGGATTAGACATAAATCTAGGGTTTTAAAAACGATACTTGCTACCTCTATACAATCAACAACCAGTTTATGGCTCACAATTCAAACCATAAAGAAGGACATCAAGAGAATGCTTAAATTGATGTTTCCAAAGCAAACAAAACCGAATCCAATTCCCCAAACATATATTTAAATCACAAGAACCCTAACTCAACTCCAACCACTTTTTTTCAATTTTTTAATCCCAATTACTTTGTATGGTCTTCAATCCTCGAGGATGTCATCAATCAATCTAAAACTCAAATTATCGAAGCTCCTCTACTTGTATATACATACATGGATTGCGCTTTAAAACCATCCGATAAGATTTCATAATACGAATCTAAACGTCTAAAGATAGTAATCAGAGTCAAAATTAGCCTATCAAGTTATACACAAATCCATGAGAACTTGAAAAAAAAAACACAAAAAGAATCATTGCATAAAACAAAAAGTATAATGCAATTCAATACCTTTGTCGTCCTAAACAAGAATTCGAGCAAGAACATATCGATTTAGAGAAAACTAGAACAAAAAATCAAGAAATTTTGGAGCCAAGGCTAAAATTAAAACCCTATTGAGAGGTTTTTTTACAATATTCTTTTAAACATGAAATTGCAAGAGATATCTTAAGGGGGGAGGTTTTACAGTTTTTCCTTTTATAATATTGTTTGTATGCAACTTAAAAATCAAAGCCAAAGCTATATAACCATTGACCAGCCATTACATTATGTGTTGACCAAAATGTTCACTCCTCTTAAGCCTTAACAAACCAAAAAATAGATAAATCCAAAATACCTTTTTTTTCTTACTTAAGTACTTATAATACTAGTTTACTAGTAATATACCTTTATTATATTTGATTGTTTAGTTCAGCTACACAATATTTTAAAATGATTTCTTAAAAACTATTATATTTTGACTATAAACTCTTAATAGAGTATTATTTAAGAAATCATTGGGTTTATGAATTAATTTAATGTGAGTAATATTTTATGAATATAAGTTCTTGTCTCAGTAATATTCTTTGGAAATGTGATTAACTTTATTAGGGTGAGTTATTTCTTAAATCTTCAAAACATTACAATAACATTCATGTTTGTTGTGATGTTTTAAAAATCACATAAATAAAAGTAGGTAATGTAGAAATTCTAAATGATGCTAAGAAAACAATTCCAATCCATGAAATGATGTATTAAATATATATAATAAAGTCTTATGATTAAATATGTTCGTTTAACATATAAATATTTATATTCAGCTCTTTTTCTAAAAGAATGATTTAACCCTTAGTGAAAAGAATAAGAAACATAAATCGGGGAGACATGAATATTATGAATAGAGAGATAACTGAATTTAGATTGGAATAACATAAAAATATAAGATAACATAAAGCTAAAAATAATAGAATATGATTGAGTGAAAGATAGTAATATAGTATTGAGTTGGTTAGGTTGTGACCAGAGATTTTATGTGGGCTCTGAACCACACACGTAGTCATCAGTATTAAAAAAGACCACCTGGGCCCACTCAACATCCACTTGAATCCAATCACAGCACAAACCATCCCAAAATAGGAAATAATTCAACAACTTGATCTTTTCATTTTCTGTGCAAATTATTTTATCATTTATAATAATTCCAAATTCAAATTAATCGCAACATATCTTTGGACCAAAAGCGATTGATAATACAAAACTGTTTTAATACTTAGGTTATTATTTCTTGATTTGGAAAATAATTTAATTGAAAACAGAAAAAATAACGCTCTTCAAGAAGCACCCAATATAAGGTTTTGACAAGGTTCGAAAATTTTTAGATAACAAAATTACACGAACAACAGAACATGATAAAAAGTACAAAGGTTGATGCGTGAAGTACAAGCTAGAACGGCTTGTAACTTGGCGTACGTAGAAGATATCAAGTTTTTGTCTTCTTGTTGAAATGTACCAAACATAAATGAGAACTTGTGGTGTTGATGTTGCAATTTGTCACAAAGTTAAATTTTTAGGACAACAAACGTAAGGGAGTGTTTTGTTTTTTTGGAATCTACCAAAATCTTAGGTGCCGTTTGGTTTAGACAATGTTTTTTTTTAATGTTAGAAACTTTAACTAAAAAACAAGCTAGATGTTAACAAAAACGAACAATATAGTTCAAAATTACATGATCAGGTTTTTTTACCCACACAATCCAGCTATGGTTGGCCTTAGTATTTCTATAATGTTGATGCCAAACATGGAAGATTTTCTATACTGTTTATGCCGGAAAACTATAGTGTTTCTATAAGACCACAAAACCCAAAGAATATCAAAAAACCGATTACAAGGCTTTCCGTTTGAATTGGACCAATAAATGCAAATCAATCCATTGAAACATATATGTGAAGTTTGAAAAATAAGGGATATCGATGTCTATCCAAACCCACATTAATTGTCATATCTCACGAGTCAAATCACAACTGAAGAATAAATGACCGACATTTTCTAAATGGTTAGAACAAATAGGACACGAAGTTGAGTCAATATCAATCCCTCTTTTATCCAAGTTCACTCGAGTAGGAAGACGATCCAGAACTAACCATCAAACAAAAATGTTGACCTTTATAGGAACAAACATGTGGATTCCACCTGGTAGGTATGTCAACAGTTGGAAGACTCACATTATCAATCTGGTTATCGCACTGATCTAAGTGTGAAATCATCCAATGGCTCCAAATTACACATCTCATCTATCCAAAGAATCAATGATGATGACCTCCACTAGCAAAGACATCAAAGCTGAGAGTTGAGTGCTCTCTTCACTACACCGAATATCACATCTTCAAGAAAATCTCCAATCCTGCATAAACCAAAAGTCTTTGACAACCACATTTTAACTGTTCGTAAGAACGAACAATCTAGGAAATGGAATCTGATAAAGAATTGAATATGTTGGGCATTGTAACCAAACTCCATATTTTGTTGCAAGAAATGGAATTGTAATGATGTAAAATGATATTAATTGCACTTCTTTTTTTGCTTAATTTTATTTTATTCTATAACTTATATGTAAAAATATATTATATAAATTATAAAAATTATAAATGATGGTGGTCGTGATGGTGGTGACGGAGGTGGTGGCGTTGGAGGTGGTGGTGGTTGGTGGTGGAGATGGCGATGGTAGTGGTGGTAGAGGTGGTAGTGATAATGATAGAGGTGGTTATGGTAGTGATAATGATAGAGTCGGTGATGTTTAAGGTGGTGGCGTTCGATATGTAGTCTTAAAAATAAACAATTATCATACTCGTAATCTTCAATAATTCCAGAGAGATTTTAATCCCCATATCTTTTAGAAAGTTGAACTCATTAAGGATCCAAGTGGATTCCTTCTGAAATTTCAAACCAAGCATAATAAAGTGTTGGATTTAAATTCCACTTTCTTCTCATTCCAAAAGACCACCTTATGGAATTGGGATTCAATTCCACCCTATAAAGATGTTTTAGTTGAAAATACTAAGAAAATTAAATTCCATTAGCGTCAATAAGGTTTCCTTAAGCGTTTCATTTTTCTACCATTTTGGTAAAAGACATTTTAATTTTAAATTTTCTCCTTACTTGTTAAAAAGACCAAACCACCACTTAAAAACTTTGTAATTATGTTTTATAATTAACTTTAGTATTTTTTTTTTGTTTAAAAATGTTTGGTTTTTTATTTTTATTATTAAACTTATGGTATAGAAAATGTTTCATAGGTTCTTATTGTGCATGAATAGATTTAGGTTTACTAATATTATAGCTTACTTTCAATATAAACAAACAAGAATAAGTAAAAAAAAAAAAAAAAAAACAACTAGTATACCATTTGTCATTTTTCACATTTAACATATTTACAACCCAAACATAAATACATAAAGTCTGTCAATTTAAAAGCATTGCATAAGAACTAAATGCCCCAAAGATTTGAAATTTGAATCACACAATATAGATCATAGATGTATCCATAAACAAAGGGAAAAAAAAAGTTTCATCAGTTCTTGTGTAGCTTATAAGTCAGAATGCACAATGATGGATCCTCAAAGACTTAATTTGAATCAAAGATGCACCAAAATGATCATATAATTGTACCACATAATCCACCAAACATGTGCATTTCCCAAATTGTAGTGATAGTGTGATATGCATACAATATAACTACACTAAGTACGAAAACATGCTAAAATGACGCATGAAAATGTGCCTAGAAGTCTGTAAAAAACCCAACTAATCTGTTAACTAACATAAGCTAAGATATTGTATGAAAATCAAACTTTAAGTGGCAATTTAGTTCAAAAAGTTGAAAACTTTTTTACAAAGAGATTTAAACCTCGGATTTCATATTCACATTTCACACCACACTTAACATATCCTAGTCAGAGTACTATTCTACTTTCCTATTTTGTTATAATGTTGATAAACTTCACAAAAACTTAAGATTTACAGACAATTCAACGATTAATGTATAGAAATCTGGTCTTTTTTCTTAACTTGTGGAAGGAGGGAAGAAAGGGTCATCTTTATTCTTGAATATATTAAAGATCTGGGCTGCATACTTTTTAGCAAGCATCCTACATTCATCAACATCACAAGGATTAACTTCTGAAGCTGTTTTTTTCAACTTTTGCTGTGGGTCCCCATTGATAAGCAACAGTGCCAGTTGGGTGATTCTAGAAACAACAAAAAAAGAGGAAACATAATCTTAATTGAGATACACAAAGTTTGACAATTAGGAAATAACAACTTGAAGATTCAAGATTGTACCTTGATTTATCAAAAAGTGGAAGAACAGTACGACTTTGTCTATGTAGAGCACAAATGGCATTCATACAAAGCTCATCATCTTTATCAAATTCTTCAAGCATCTCAGATTTGAATCTCCATTTTCCTTTTATCATCTTATTTCTAGCAATTATTGATTTGTATGCTCCATCAATGATGTTGGTATTTAGATCAGAAATGGAGGCTGGACTATCCAAGGAAGACAAGAGATTTCTTGGCTCAACTTTCTCCACACGTGGTGTGATTCCTGATGACTGAGGGGTAGAATGGGGATTTGAAATTATTGGCTGATTATACAAATCTTGAAGATTTTTCCTTTTTTGAGTTGCGGGTTGAATGTCATCAACAAAATCACTACTATACTTTTTATCTACTTCATTAGAACTCTGTTTTCTTTTCAATGTCGAGTGACACTTTAGATCATCATCATCATCAATCTGTATGATCTCTTGAAGCTTGGGTTCTGTTTTTATCTTGTTGTCCCCCTTTGCAACAAGCAATGGTGGTTCAATGTTTTCTGTGATACAGAAGAAGCAATTAGAAATCCTCCAAATTGGCTGATTTTAGATGCATATTAAATAGAAAATCCAAGATTTAAACAAACAATAGAAACCTGTTGTGTATCATTTGACAATTCAAGATAGAAACATATCAAGTAGCATTTTCATATCTAATAAATTTGAGTTTGAATGTAGACCAGTTATGTATCATTAGACTAACAATCTCTTTAAATAACAGGAAATGTAATTTGATTCTTATATCATTGGATAATCATATGCTTGTTGAAACTCGCTAAGGAATTTCTTAGGGCTAATCTTTGTTAGATTATGCAAATGCAGCATATCATATTCTGACTCCGACTTCAAATCACAATTAATGGTTAAATGACCATTTAAACACCCCTTAACAATACATTAACATCGTTGATATATCAAATCTATGCAGAAGTAAGAAATTTATACCAGCAGTAGAATTCTTTTGTTGGCTATTCTCCTGATTGATCGATGAAGATCCCGCTGAAGCTATCAATTCTTTGGCTGTTTTCTCTAACTTTAAAACCCTATCGTGTAAATCCGTCGATTGCTTCTTATAAAACCTAAGATCAGCCTCTTTCTTCTCATAATCGACATTCAGCTTCCTCAATCCATCAATTTCACTTTGTTTCATTTTCAACTCATCCTCTAACGCAGATTTCGAAACCCTACATTTCTCAGAATTCAAAACCTTAATCTGATCCTTATATTCCAAATTTTCCTTTCTCAGTGCGTCAACTTCCCTTTGTTTCTTTTTCATCTCGTCATTCAGCTTCTGATTTTTGATAGACAACACATCCTTCTCCTTTTCAAATGTTTCAGCCTTCTTCCTCAACTCATTACACTGATCCCTCATATGATCTTCACGCTCCACCAATATTTTTTCAACATCTTGAAACTCCGACGCTAAGAAGGATGATCGGAGGAGAGAAATGAGCTCCTTCACCGTCGGAGATGCTGCTGCCGACCCGCATTGCGCCATCTGGTTAGCCTCCGAACACATTTAACTAAAGTTTGAGACAACGAAATGGTTGAAAAGGGTAGAAATGGTGTAGAATACGAAGAGTGACGAATGCAAGCAGAGGACCCCTGAAAGAACGTATCTTCTCTGTAAAGGTTGCTTTGGTGTGGGACATGGAAGTTGTACGGTCCCTCAAGTAATACACAATTGTGGAAAAAAAACTTTAGAAAAAAGGTCTCATCATTTTCCAAGACGTTGATTCCTTTTGAAAAAACTTCGAATATCATATAGCACAATTGTTGATGAAATTCTTTTATTTATTTTAATTTTAACTACTTGACTATGAATATAAAATGTCATGATGTAATAAAATCAATTATAAAGTTAAAATATATATATATATATATATATATATATATATATATATATATATATATCTATAAACATAAACATAAGTAATTAGAAATTTACTTAGGTGGTGTTCTTTTTGGAAAAAATAAAATATCTTCTATCTTTTTTCATATCTACATAATAAGGTGCAATAAAAGTCTTTTTTTAATGTTTTTAATCTTCATAAAAAAAATTGTTTGTTTTTTAAAATTTCTTTAAAAAATAGTAGGTTGGTGTTGGTGTTGATGATGGTAGAGAAGGTAAGAGTAGGGGTAGGGGTGGGTGGTAAATGTGTTAGTGGTAGTTTTATCTTTAATTTACTTATATAATAAAAAAGAATTAAAAATATTTAAATAATAAAAAAATTAAAATTGATATTAAAGATTAGTATTGATGGCAGAATTGTAACAACTAGTTTCTAGAGCGGATCGGTTTAGGGCATCAAAGAGTCAATGGTAAATTACACCAATCGTCCCTCGTGCACATGCCAGAAAGCGTGTTTAGTCCTTATTTTCAAAAATTAACTCCTACTGTCCTTCGTTTGCTTAAAACTTGCTAACTTCGTCCGTTATATGTGTTTTTTGTTGCGAATTTAGTCCATTCCACATTTGAAATGACCATTATGCTCTTGGATATTTATTTTTAGTTAATTTTAATATTCTTCATTATTATTAATTTAAAAAAACAACACTCCAATATCTATCTCTCTCATACGCGTGAAAATACCACCACCACCTTCGATGTAGTCTCTCTCTATCTCTCTCTCTCCATTCTTCTTCAATACAAAACACACACACAAGAAGCCATCACATTGACTTGAAGAACCTCGATTCACCTTCACGTTGACTTGAAGAAGCCATCAGACAACAAATTGAATCCTCAATGAATCTATTGTTGGATTAGTGTGTAAGTCCATAACTATTTTGGTATGTACTTGACCCGATGGTGCATGGTCCTTTTGGGTTGCCTTCACCAAAGCAACTTGATTGGAGAAATGAATAAAGAGAGAGAGGATAATATGATTTATTAATATGTTATAAGAATAATATATTAAAGGAGAAATCATATTTGTTTAATTAATATTGGTCAATAATTAATTAAGAATTAGTTTTGTGATCAAATGTAATTAATTAAACTAGAGGGGCTGATTTGTAATTATGTGATAGTTACAAAATAAGGTAAGGATTATCTTATTTATATGGTGGATGAATTTAAGGTTGGAAAGCCTTAGAATTCGAGTATGATAAGGATTCAAGGATTATCTTATTGGTTGCTTAATGGATAATCAACTAGATAAGAATAATGACTGAAACCCTATCTCTACACCTATATAAACACCCCTAGGGTCATGAATTCGTGTATCCCTTCCCAAGAGGTCCTAGATACGAATTCTAACCTCTCACCTCTCTCTTTATACCTTCTCCATTTGCTTATGGTGTTTGAGCCATTAGAGGAGTGACACTTGTGACTCTAAGCATTCCAAAGTCAATCCAAGGTGGAGTTGTGATTGTTATTGCTATATAACAATCAAGGTATGTTCTTAAACCTAATTATATGTTAATGTTGATTTCCATATGTTAGAATTAGGGTTTATAGTCTTGGATTCAAAGCATGTACAATAGAGAAACCTAGATCCAAGCATTAGGGTTTGTATGAGCACATAGGATGTCTTATGACCAAAACCCATCAGTGGTATCAGAGCCTAGCTTGGTTTCAATTGTATTGATGCATTGTATAACTGGAAAATCGTTTTTTGGGCTTTATGGCTGAGGAACTCGGCGAGTACCACAGTGTACTCGGCGAGTAGACCTCAACTCGGCGAGTACATGTGGTACTCGCGAGTTCGAGCGTCAGATAATGCTTATCTCGGGATTTCTTGCTGTTTTTGCATTTGGATAGTTACCTTATCATGTTAGATCAATATAAATCCGATTTTATGATATATATATATGACTATATTCTTGATCTAATTAAAGATAATTATCAATTAACAAGATAATTGTTTCCTTATAAGATAATTGATTAATTATTTTGAGTAAATTGATAAATTGTTTTGCAAGAAATCATTAAATAAATCAAATATGGATAATTATGTGATTAAATGTTAATTTAAAATTATTTGTTATTTGATCCTTGTTGTTATGAAAGTTTCATATTTTCCCCTTTAGGTTTTATAGTTTAAATTTGAACCCAAAAGTTTTGAAGTTTTGAAATTTAAATAGTTAAAACCCTAATGTTTTGAAAAAGGTTTCAAAACTTGCCCTCAAGTTTTGGAATTTAAAAGTTGATTAAAAGGTTTAATTAGAAATGTTAAATTCTAAAACCTAGTAATGTTTTGAAAAGTTCAAATCACACCCTTATGGTTTTATTAATTAATTAAGGAGTATAATTAAAAGAGGTTTAATAAATCCATAAAGGTTTAGGTTAACCATTTAATTGAATTAAAAGTGTAATTGTTAAAGTTAACCATATAGTATTTTAAAAGTATAAAATACACCCTATATATAACATTAAAAGTCTAACATTATATATATGAGTAAAAGTCAGTCTTACCGTTAGTAGGCCTCATTCACGAAGCTGGTCTATAAGGGGTGTTTAAGGAAATTGCCTATAAAATGGCGATTGAATGGGTATCCACTCTTACCCACCGCACTCTTGACTAGTGGAGGGTCGTTAGCCGAACGGGTAGGATAGGACGAAACCTTCCATTATAAGTATAATGAAATACAAAGTAACTAAATGTTTTTCAAATTCCCAATCTTAGTTACTTAGGCAAAAGTGAATTGATGCAATTCCATGAAATTACACTTTGTGCCCTTGCGAAGACGTTAGTGGAGCGTGTGTGGTTTACCGGCACACTAAATGGTTCTAAGCAAAGGTAGCAAAGGGTGACTCAATGTTTGTCATAGTTCGGTGGAGCGTGTGTGGTTTACCGGCACATCGAATAGGTGATTGTAACATGTGAGGGCACCATGTAGTTTGCATGGTTATTCACACCCGCTTTGTGATCCTCGGCATCCCAGTCACAAACAAGAGGGGCATATCGAGATTTAAACATGCCATTGAAATGTTCAATGAATCTCAAAGGATCTAGGAGTTTTCATAGATTTAAAACTTAAATTTCTTTTTCGTTTTTCATGGTGGAAATTAGTGAATCGTCATTCACTTACCTTCAAATGTTCTGCAATTTGGGTTACGGCATCCCTCTAGTTGTAGGATATTGTGTTGGGTCCTAGCCTTGGAATTTCATTTGGGTGATTTACCAAGGACTCAATCAATCAACTAACTTGAATTCGTTTTTCTCCCGATGTCAAAGTTCGACAACTATGGTCTTCTCAAATCCCGTGGAACAAGCATTCCACATGAAGATGATATTCCACGATTCGATCGAGGAACAAGAAATCATGCTTCACTTCCTCCTCCTCCTCCAATTATTCTCCCTAACCCACAAGATTGTAAAATTGAAAGGTTCAATATCACTCAAGCCCTTTTGGCAAGTAAACATAAAGAGGGCAAGTCGGTGTGTGCACACGTCTTAGGGATGAAGTCACACATTGATAGGTTAAGAATGATGGGATCCGTTGTCGGTGAAGAGATGGCTGTTGATTGGGTTCTTCAGTCACTTCCTAACTCGTATAGTGAGTTCGTAAGAGAGTACTATATGATGAACCACGACGTGACACTTATAGATCTCACCTATATGCTTATTGCTGCTGAATCAACAATGGTTTGGCGCAATAGAAAAGCAAAGTTGATTGGTGAATCTGCCTTCAAGACCTCTATGGATATAGACAATGGCAATGAAAGACATGCAATGATCGAAAAGTTTGATCATAAGAGAAAGGCGATGTCTGAAGTAGTTCCATGTGTTGTTCCAAAAGAGTCAATTTGCTTTTATTGCCAAGAGAAGGGGCATTGGAGACGAAGTTGCCCTATTTACCTAAGAGATCTAAGAGATGGGAGAGTCAAAAGTATGACTACGCTTTAGGTAAGAATCCACTATCTAACTCCATTAAGTTCCTATTCATTGATTCTTAATACATGATGTGATAAGATTGCATTTGAATGTTTTGAAGGATCGGTGAAAAGAAAGGAAGCTTGATAAGAGAGCAAGATGAATCTAATCACAAGAGATGGATCTCGATCGCATGGACTTGAAGATTGGATTTTGAGCTTAGATAGTTATGATAGAGTTGTTAGAAATTTTCTTTTACATAGTTTTCAATAGATTTTGCATTGTAAGGACAAATGTTTTTCCGCTGCTTTTATAAATAAAATAAATTTTGTTTGACTTATTTATTTGTTTACTTCCTTGCAATGAAATCGTTATGAAAATTGATGTTTGCATATTTCTACAACGAATGGATATGATTCTTAGTTATGTTATTTATGGAAATGTCAAGAATTTACCAAATAGGGAGAGTTTCTCATCGCCCAAGTTTCAATTGGACAGAAACTTGGAATCATGCAACGTGGATGCACGATGAATGAGAAATTTCGTATTTGGAAATTAGACTAATTCATTGACAAAGTGTCAAGTGAAGGACTAGGAGATCGAGTACACAAAGTTGTGTGTTGATCAAGTTCACCATAAGAGTAACAAAGATATTCGTCATGATTTACTAAAGGCTTAGTAAATATGATTACACTTACAAGATTAAGTGTAATTTTGAATTGATTAAAGGGTTTAGATCAATAGCAAAACGAATAAGAAGAATCAAGTAGGCAGAAAGATAAGAGTTTCTCCATTCTAAGAAGAAGGGAGAGTAGCTTTTATGCTTTATGATAGGTCTTAATGATTAAGAACCATATCTCAATTGATCCTCTAATGAGTCTTGGTACAATTGTATG